ATTTTAAATCCGATATTTATGGAGTGAGAGATGATAGTTGGAAAATTCGATGCACAGAATATTTTCAAGAGACTTTAACTAAGCGGAAAAGACACTGTGTCATGACGTTCATCACTATCTCAACGGTAACACGATGAGCATAAAAGAACCTGCTAAGCATATAAATGAGTTCTACGGATGAGGCATAGTAGCCATAAGACGTTGGGTATACATGGCCTGCAATGCGGCCGCTGAAGGAAAGCTTGTCATTGTCGGGAATGGAGGTATTCCAAGTGGATTTGGTACAGCTGGCATCAAACCACTTGGTTTCATATACGGATGATAACGAAGGGATGCAGCCGATGCAGCATGATTAATCAACGATGCCGTAGTGTTTGAACGTGGTGAACTGCTCGTTTTTAAATCACTGCTACTGTTCGAACTTGTTGTTGATGCAGCATGAGCCATCTGAAAAATTTGAACGTTCCACTGCTAGCAATTCATTCAAACCGTGTTGTCATTTTTCTTCACCATTTCAAAAATTATTCTTTCTCAATGCTATAAATCTCAAACCAGCTGCTTTTATTTTAAAGATCCGAAACGAAGGCATCAGATCGTGCACATTCAATAAAATGAATACCTTCATATGTGCAGCAAGTTCGTCGGCAGTTGGAAACGATTTCCCGCAAACACCATTTGGTGACTCGATCCAATTACAGATGTGCTTGGTTGCTTGTCCAGAAGCTGCAGCCATCAAATTTTGATAAGCAATTTGAGCTGCTGAACTGAAAATTACAAGACTGCTGATAATAAGAGACTGAATTGCATCATTTTGGGAAATATGTACAGACAACTCATTCGAAATTTTAGACAAATTAATGAACCCAAAGAGTCTAAGTAAAATTCAGTCATATCGGACCAGTAAAAGTTTCCATTGAATATACTTTTTCCAGGGAATTTTTAGCAAAAATATGGACCAATTTCACACTTTTCTTTTTTGAAAACTATTTATTAAAATAATGACTCATGCATTTTTTGAAAGGACATTCACCTTGATGTTGGTGGTAATGATCCAGAGAGAAGTGGACTATAAGCAGCAGCAAAAAAGGATGGTGGGAAAGTCATCATCAAATCGGCAGGTGTGGTACCAGCAGTTGCTGCGGCAGCAGCGCTATGCATCGTACAACTTGTACAACCCGGAGTTACGCATGGCCTTGTCATTATAGTTGCTGGACATCCTATAAAGAAACAAAAAAAAGAAAAAAAAACTACTCAAAATGGAATTACCCTTAAAAACTCAGAAATCACGATGATACAACATAAGTAATTTTTTACATTTCAAAATGAGCAATCTAGCCACAGCCTATCAATAAAATATGACTTATTCACAAAATCTGAATACCAAACAAATGGTGGTCCATCCAGTTCAGTAATTTTTGAAATTTTTGAATTCAAAAACGGACCCTTGCAAGTTAGTGGATCCGGACATCGTAGGAATGGATTCGATGTTCCACCTGGAAACGCTCCAGCAGCGGCAAAAGTGGGAACCGTTGGGAATCCAGGCATGAGAGATGGATAAGGGAAGGCCGGAAAGCTTGTCGCAAGAGGTGAGAAATTCATGGGGAAACAGCCTCGTGCACTGAGCATCAAATTTGCAGGTAACGAAGCAGCGGCACTGGTGGATGGCTCGGAACTTATCGGGGTCTTCTTGCCAATCGATGGACTGTGCGCTATATGACGAGGACTTTTAGATCCTTCCTTTTTGTTTTTTGCCGTTGGACTAGGTTCCTCCTTTTTCGTTTCACCAGCTGCACTACTGCTCGGACTGGTGCGATCCCTAGATTTATCACCGTCTTTATTGGATTTCCGGCTTGATGTGTCGGGAAGACCAATTGTTTCGCAAGTTTTTGCAAGCATCGCAAGAGGTGATTTGCCAGAATCCATCTGTAAATATGAATACTTCCATGATTTTAAACATGTAAAACTCAAATATGAATCCCCAACTACAGATTTGAGAAATGGGACGAGCAACAATTGAACACTTCAATAAGTCTGGTTTCCAAAGAGGTTAAATTATAAATTAAATATTTGTACTTCGGTAGCACATACAAATTACTCGAGTGATTCACAGAATAAAGGAATGCAAAGATATAGTGGATCCGGAAGAATAATGGTGATAGTGA